TGCCATCCCCTTGATCTTGCAGGATCGACCTGGTATTATTTGGGAGAAAGAAAGAGGAGGAGGAGAAAGGAGATGAGGAGGGGGGGGGCTTCTCTGGGGCAGCATCTGATTTCTGAATGGACACAAGGAAGATGAGGTAGAGAAAGTTTCCACGCTGCAGACAAATAACAGGAAAAGATAAACAAACGGTCGCGCTGATATTTCCTTGGGCGGTTTGGAAATTCTGCTGCACTTAAGAGAAAGCCACAAAGGGGCATTCTGAGAACTTGAATACTTGAAATGTTCAAAATAAACATCTGAGCTGAGCCTTTAGAGTGTCAGAAATGACAGGGCTTCCTCTTCCCAAACATGTAAAGTGCCTCGCAGCAGTCTTCCTGTCAATTTTCAATTTTGGTCTGTGAAATGAAGTGTCGAATGAGCAGGAAATTCCCCCAAACGAGGCAACAACTGCGCCGTCTGAGCTGCCGAGCGCGAGCCCGTAAATTCCACCGGCTGACGGCAGGCTGTCAAACAACCGCCCAATCGAACGTTATTACTGTTATCCCAAAGAAGCTGGTTAATACCATCAGCCATTTCCAGTCAGCGTCCAGGTGCTTTGAGCGGGAAAGCGTCTGAGAGCGGCGAGCCGTCTGCGGAGCCTGCTGACGTCTTTGTGTGACCACAGCTTCCACATCACACGGTTTCACAGCCTCGCCGGAAGTGCATAAAACTACAGCCAGGTATCAGATATGAGGCTCGGCGCCCACATGAACCCCTTTCCGACCATCTCCTGGTCCGCCCAGAGAGCTCTTTGTGACCCGCCATAAATCATGCCGCCGACCTTCAAACAATCCCTCATTTGCTATTGTAACATGCCAGCTCCAGAAACGATGGACTCTGTGGGCAGCAAACACGCCAAACTCCCTGAGAAGTTTCCAACTTCAGGGTCACCACTTCGAATCTCCTTTGAGTCCATATGAAGATATAACCCTTCACTCTGATAAGATAATGCTGTAGCTTTTTGATGTGCTCCTCTGCGTGAAATGCTGGATATTAAGATGCCTGCAAATATCATGAGTTTCAGGGGGAAAGCAGCAATTGTGTCGTCATAAAGGATCCTGGTAAACTTGCACGCAATTTTATGTTATTTATATAAAATCTTCCACAATGCAGAGGAGTTGGGAGTTTGTTCTTCAGCTCTCTTTCTCTTGAGTATGTCCTGATTCGTTTGATTTGTTCTCTCCCCGCTTTATGTGAAGCACTCAGCTACGAACAGTGACTTCTCTGAGCGGTTGGCGGCTCACTGCGGCTCGGCCTCCCCTCAGCTTCACAGCATCTGCTCCGTATCCAGGGAGTCGCTCGGAAAACATTTGATCGGGCTGACTGCCTTCTGACAAAAGAGATTCTCCAAACAGCCTGTGACGTCCTAAGACATCTTAGAGGTGTAAGTCTGATTAAAGGAGCCGAGAAGCCGGGAGCGGTTTTGTTTTCTCTATTCTTTTAAGCCTTGTTGGTCACGAAGCACAAGCCGAATGACGCACCAAACGAGCTCAGGTACAGAGGACAAAGGTGAGAAAGGAGAAGGGGGAAGCATGAAAAAAAAACTCCTTGCTTCCACACTCTACTTTGCTTTAATGACATAGGCTCAGCATCCCTTTAAAAACACTGACTGCTTTTGATGCGCAGCGAGCAAATGTTTTACACACGTACTGCATCACCACACACACACGGACTCAAGCTCACTAGGATACAAACACAAGCCTGAGGCAACAAACCTGAGGAGAAAACTTGCAGCTGGAGGCTAAAAAAAGAAAAAAAAGTCTTAAGATGCATAAATTAGCGTAACTTAAACAGACACCACACACACACATAATATGCACTGTCTTACACACTCCAGATAGAGCTTTATCTGAGGACAACACACTGCGGGAGTTCAGCGGTATCTCTAAATCCCACAAATCTCCTTCTTTGGCCACTTCCCCCTGAAAGAACGCCTGATATCTCCATTAATGTGAGCGTGGGGAAATGTCCCGTGACGTGCCGTAATGGGAGCATTACAGCTGAACTGAATAGGGAGGGAACGCGCCTCGCAGCAGCCTCTCCGCCGAACAGTCGCTTTGTAGAAAAATCACTTAACAACCCAGATTAGAGGCCTCTCTCCTTGAGATTTGAGGAAGACGTTTGTGTTCCGTCTGCCTCTGTGTGCATCGCCGACATTGTTTCTCAGTCGGGAAGTTTTCGCTACAGCTTCCCAAAATACAGTCAAGGGGCACAAACAAGAAAAAGGCCCGCTTTAAAGCTACGATGCAAACAAACCCACACGTTTTACCCAGGGGAGGGGAGGGAAAGACACAGACACACAAACTCTGCTCTTAAGTTTTGATATTTAGTCATTCTGCTGATGCTCTCACAATGACTTCAGCAGTTTAAAGCGGTTTACGGGAAAACAAGAGGCTATGAGAGAAATGCATTCTCTTATTTAGCTTTTTCTTACTCAGAGCTGGTAAACGAAGACAACACAGCGGCAGTTTACAGCCCGTGGATGCAAATGGAGAGAAAACTGTGAGGAATGACTGCTTCAATTATCGTTTCAGGATTAAAGAAAGAAAAACAAAATATCCACGGGGAAATTCTTCCCCATGCCTTTGCATAGAAAAAGGTGTCTGGGGCTGTCTGACCAACAGATAATGACATCACAACAATAAGAAGAAAGAGGTAAAAGGACACAACAGAATTTAACTTAATTCAATTATTCATATTAATTGGCTAATCTATCCACACTGTAGCAGCACCTCAAAAACTGTGGAGTCGGCCAGGTTGAGTCAATGTCCTCACAGTAACTTTTTAAAATCTCTGCATGAAGCTTGAGGGTTGGAGTTTGCATTTGTATGCTTAAAAGGCACATGAGTAGACCAAGGAGGCCCCTGTTAACAGTCCGATTCTCCCCACGTCCTGATTACACTGAACCTGTTCCAGTTTTCTGCCTGTAATCGGACACAAAAGCACCAGGCATCTCGAGTACATAGCTTTGCTCATCCTGTCTTTTTAAAACTGGACAGGACAGAACTTCTCTCCCACATCAGTCTGATCATCTCTTCCATCCATAATCATCACAGTCTTGCCCCCCCCCACTCCGTGCTCAGCTCTTTCAAGTGGAAGGTAGAGGGGGCCTGAAACACGGCTCCCACCTCGCAACCAGGGGGCTAATTACAAGAGAAGCAGCAACAAGAGGGCATTTTGTGAAGTTGCCAAGACGTACAGAGAAAGAAAGTGCTCCTTATGTTTGCCAGCACCATTGAACCCCCCCCATCTCAACACGAACAATCTCCGAGAGGCTTCTGCGGTCGGCACGTCAGGACGAGAGGACGGGCAGAGAAGAGAGCGGAGAAACAGGCGTGGAGGCGGGGACGCACTGTCCGGTCACTCCCTGAGCATCGGGCTCAAGGAACACAGGACTCTGTTAGCATACCGACGTGCAGTTGTCTCAAGAACAAGCGTCTGGAAGCCCAAAGCCAGGAAACGAGTAGGGTTACGAATACTTCTTTCCCTCAACTAACAGAGCATAAAGAATATAGCCCGCAGCCTTTCCTCTTTTTTTCTTATCTTAAAGCAGTATCTGACCGAAGTCCCTTCCAAAACTTTGGATGGACACAGCGGCACTGACAGGGAAACGGTGGGGCGCTTGTGCCACCTGACTGGGAGAGGCTGGAATAGTCGCCAGCTCTCGTGCCACCAGCCGCACAGAGACTTCAGGGTGTCGTCAATGAATGCCATTTTCTGGCAACGTACCCGATTGTGTGATAGAGCCGTGGGATCCCACAATCAGGGATCTGCACTAGTCAGCTGCGCCTTGTCTGATCCAGCAGGGGGGTAATTTAGGATTACACAGAAGGTGAATGATGAATTAGGCACAACCGCTCCTGTCTGGCGCAGCTACTCAGTGCAACCACGAATACGGGGTCTTTACGGGTGACTTGAGGGGATTTCTTTATTTTTGTGATCGATTCTTTAAAGCCAATCCGATGGGTTGAACCCCACTGCACACGTTAAAACTCACGCAAGAATCTGTCCGATGTTTGTTTTAGCAGTTTAATATTCTGAGAGGGAGAGCATTTGTACCGAACGCTCCACGATGACAACACGCGGGTTTTATTCAGACCTCAGCAAAGGTGTGAACGAAAACAAGCTCTTTCTGCGCTTCGCCCCGCCAGGCTGCCGCACTTTGATTTCATTCTGCTGCCTTTCGGAGGCGGCTTTAGCTCATGAGGCGGCCAGGGGGTGAACAGCACAAGTCAGAACACATGAAAAGTTTGAGATTGATTTGCAGCGAGGCGACAGTGGGTCTTGGTATGACAGCCGGCTCCTTATTCCTCTTTGCTTCAGCTGCCTCCTCTGAGTTTTTTTACTTCACCAGAAAAGACGCATTTGTAAACCAGAGCACAGCAAGCTGACAGGTCCCGAAGAGGGTGCAGCATTTCTATGGATTAACGGTACCCCACTTAATGTAGACACAACTCACGTAACGATACGGACTAAAACCATAAATGAAAAAATATATACATGATAAAAGAAGAAAAAACTGCTTCGCATGAAAGACAACCCATTAAAAATTCTGTATAATCCTCGAAAATGCTTCAGAGACAGCTGCTGCAGCGGGTGCTGACTGCAACTAACAGGGAAATATATTTATATATTCTTATATATTTATATATATATATTCAGGGAAGAAATATTACTGTATCTTCAGCTCCATGAACTCACGACTTAAGAAGCATGAAAAAATAAATAAATGAAAAAAATCTATATTTCAGTACCCAAACCAGCATCTCCCAGGCCTCAAAACATTTCTCTTTCTAGGTCTTTTCTTCTTCTTATATCCTCAAATGTCATAAGCGACTGTTCCAGCCGTGCGTATGGAATTGGGACATGATTTCAGATGACAGCAGCCGAAGTGGCAATAACTCGGGTCCGCGGCGGGATGCAACGTGGACAGACAGCGAGCTCAGAGCACAGCAGCCGAATCAAACCAGATGTGGACTTACAGATGGAGAAACTGAGCTGTTGGGGAGGTAGGGGTCTGGCAGCATCAGGAACGGGTAACCTGGATACGCTGGCGACTTGTACATGCCTCCATCTTGTTGCTTCGACACTGAGTCAGACATGGAAAGAAAAAAAAACAGCAGAGAGTCAGAAAAACAATAAACAATAAACATATCGATGCAGATTGTCAAAGTCACCCTCATTTCCTAACTGAGCAATCTTGGGTCTGACATCTGACCGTCAGTGTGGGGTCATTGACAATTTCCCCCCAAGCAAAACAAAAAAAACAAAACCAAAACACAACTGAGTAAGTGGCCAAAGCTTTTGCTGAATCTTTGGATAGAAAGTAAAGCTAAATCTAATACTTACTCCCAAAAGTGTTGAGAGGTTTCAAAAAAAGATAAAGCAGGCATCCAAGAGGCACATGCACGCACAGCAGATAGGCTGCTAGCAGGCTGTTACATCATGCTATATCCTTGTACGATAACGGATGATACTTGAGACAAAAAAGGTTTCAGCTGTCACATACAGCTTGAGAGGCGTGAACTTCGAGCGCGTGTGTTACTTTATTTTCACCACCCATATTGAGCAGGAGAGGCCCCCTCGGTGGGCTATAACTGGGTTATACCTGCTAAGAACGACACTGAGACGAGCACTGGCCACAAAGTGTGATGGCTGAGCGTTTAGTCTTTTTCTGAAGCCGATTGCGGAGGGACGGAACACAAAATGACTCGGGGGCGTTCAGAATTCGGCAGGTTCCCCTGGTTAACAGAACCCGCTCCAACCCCACAAAATCTGGACCCGGTGAGGGGTTTTGTTTACACAGATCCCCAAGCGGGGACATGTTTCCCTTTAGTGACGACTGCAAAGAGCAACACCACCGAGTTCAGCCTATAATTAAAGCTGACATGTAAACTGTAGATTCTTGAAATGTGCCTAAATGCAGGGAGGGAGGCCGCTCTGTTCTTTTTGGGTGGTAAGGGCAAAAAAGCCAAGATGAACCTCTTCTGGTGAATCCATACTTTTGGCAAAGTCATGCAAAAGAAAAGAAAAAAAGACAATGTGGTACAAGATAAATCTAAATGACCCCTATCCCAAGTTGAAAAATGGGCACAATCTAATTTCAAGTACTTTTCTGAAGCTGTTTTACTCAGTTAAGCCCACTTTGAAGTAGAAACCTGCGATACAGCAGACAGCAGATGACATGCTGGACATCACGTGACAACATACCAAACAAAACAAACAAATAAACAAACAAACAAGACTTTGAAGTTGATTTTAAAACAACAGGACGTGCCCCCCCACCTCTCCCATCTCCGCCACCAAGTATTTCTAACTCTGACAAACTCTCTCAACGGATGCGAGTTGAGTTAGAGAGTGTTTTTTAGTTTGTTTGTTTGTTTGAATCTTCTTACCACTTTCGAGGTGCTCTCGGTGTTTGTCCGGGAAGCCCCTCTGCTCTCCCTGCTGTCCCCGCCTGACCGCCTGGGAAGGACCCGACAACACACACGGAATGAGGTTAAGACACTCCAAAGAGTTAGAGACAAAGCGTCAAAACCGCCCCTGCGTAAACTGCTTCGAGTTTACAACTAGCTTAACACACTTAATTTTTTTTTTTTTTTTCTAATGGCGTGTTTCGGCTAGTTTCTGAAGCGGCATCCCCCTGTCCCGCGGCTAACCTCGGGCAGCTTGGGAACCCTGGAAGCAGGGTCGGCGTAGCCTTTTTTTGCTCTCATTCAGCGCTTGTCAAGGAGTTTAAAACAAAATTAAAAATTAAAACAAGACTTTCCGCACACTCTCTCCGTCCGTATCACACACCCGCACGCGCTCCGTGACACCTACCACCGAGTTCGGGTTTTGGCTAATTTCCGACTCGTTCACCAGAGAGGACTTGAGGTCGGCCAGGTCTCTCTCCGTGAACGCGTTTTCTTGGATTTTCTCATCTTGCTCCCCTTCGTCTTTGAACGATATCATCTCATCATTCGCTCCCAGGTCGTCCCCTCCGCCGCTGCTGAGCTGAGGCATGTCTGCTGTTCCCCCCCTGCGACGGTTCTACACGTTTGTCTCAAGATGAAAAGAAGAAAAAAGAAAGAAACAACAACTAAACAAAACAAAAAAAAGTAAAAAAACGAAATAGTAACGTGGCCTCTGTGTTAAACCTCCTCAGTCTGGGGCGCCTCCGAAGTAGAGAAACCCCCCAGCACATGAAGAAGGAAAAAAAAGTTGAGATGTGGCGTTCCCCGGCTGGCTGCTCGGTGGAGGACTAATGTTTCCCTACAACAGCAAACAGCTCATTTGAGCCCAAGACAAGGCAAGGAGTCCCGACATCAAAGGGCGCCGACCGGATGATTGACAGGTCCGATGACTTGTTGGGGGGTTGTACGATTGTTTCGACAGAGGGCTGAGTCTCTTAAAGAGACATCACGTCTCTGCGCTCTCGGCTCAACAGGCGTTATTCATGACTTCAGGGGGGAAGCGTTCACACCAGCACCGCGGTCCTCGGGCTGTCACCGAAAACTTGCTCTGGATTGTGGATTTTCTTTGTGCTCTGGTTTGAGTAAAAAAAAAAAAAAAAAAAAAAAGTTTCATTACGCTTATGGAGCATGTCAGACTAAAACTGTACCACCCGGCGATCGTGAAATACTCAAAAGTTTATCTCGAATTTAAGCAAATATTCCGCTAAATAAATCTGGAAATACACAAATCAGTGAAACAAACAAAATAATTTTTACTGCTATGAATGATACATTAAAAAAAAAAAGTTGGTTTATATATCATATATAAATGCAATATACTGTATGTAGATATAAAAATGTAAATGTACATGCATAAGTAGAACACAGTTAATACATTCTAAAATTGGGAAAACATTACATGATGACAGTTTGTATAAAGTTACTTTTGGAATGTGAATAGATATGATACAAATAAAAGGGATATTTTGTTTTACTTGAAGTGGTATTTGTGCAATTGCTACTAAAAAAGTGAAACTGGACTATATAAAAAAGAAAGAGAAAAGCTAAATACATTTCCACGTCTTAATCTGTTTGAAAGTGCATAAAATCTGAGTTTGTTTAAAAATGGATTAACGCACCCACAAATGTGGGTGTAGAATAATTTAAACTTGATTGTTGACCTTAACACAGCCTCATCTGACAAAAATCACCAACCAGGAAACTAAACTTTAACATCTGTGCAGTGAATCAGGCTTTTCCTCCATGTGTGATGAGCTCCATGGGAGAAAGTCAAAGCAGTTAAAAAACACTCCTGTGTAACTATACGGTGGCAATTAATGGTGGTGCAACCAGGAAAAGAAATCTGACAATTAAACCAAATATATATATAATATTTTCTCAGTATGTCTTGGTCCAAGGGAAAAAGCATTTGCAAGGTTTTCACCATTGTCCTGCACTTTCTTCGACAATTAAACATTGATGTTTTGCACTGAGTTACTGCTGCCTGATGCAAAAGTAATGCAATAAAGAAATCAATATACCAAGCAGTTTCAGAAGGAAAATAATATGTTTTTTTGACAGCTGATAACTGTTATGCACATTTTATGACACACAAACTCAGAGAAGCAGAATTATACAACGGCATTCCCTTTGAAAATCAATTAATTTTGTTCTACACAACACAGCAGTGAATCAGTAGTGAAGATGTGGATTGAATTTACAAAATGCTGCTGATGCAAACCAAATAATCAAACTCATCAGAACCAAATCAAAACCAACTGTAATGGCCATACAGGAGAAGGGCAAATGAAAGCTTTTCAACTTCTTCTTCTTATCAGTTTGAAACTAGGACACAGTGTTACTAAATCACACAGTGTTTGTTTCATTCTCTCTGTAAAAAAGTGTTCACCTCATACATTTCCAGCATTGCCATGAGCTCTCATCGTAGGGGAGCAACTTTCTTTTTTATTTTGCCAAGCTTTGTATTCATTTACACAATTTTCTCCAGCGTGTGCAAATGTGGCCATTGGATGTGAAAACTAACAGAAACTCTCTGTTGCTTAATCAATTTCAGTCCAATGTTGTCTTACCTCATCAAACTGCAAGATTTATAAAACCTCAGAAACTTCTTGTCAGTCAGACAGACAAGTTGATACAGTGACAATCAACTGTAATCCTATTCTCACAATGCCAATTTAGCAGTTTTATTATTAAATAATTAAACTGAAATAATAGTTAAACATGTCAGCTGGCTGTGTTCATTGTTGTGCTAGTTTTCGGGCATGCTGGGCACCTCCAGCGGGCAGTGAGCTTACCGGTCAGGATCCCATCAATGACACATCTGTACTAGTTAGTGAAGTATCCCGCTGTCCGTCCAGAGCCTCATCAGCCACCAGAGCATGAAGAATAACTGTTAGACCGCCAGATATGATGACACGGTCTCTTTTTCATCTTAACACATGACTTCAGCTTTTAGTTTATATTATAGCCTGATTAGCTCAGGTTTTTGGCAAGAGCACTGTGGAAAGAGAAAAAGCCACAGCAAAACCATGAATCAGGGAAATATGGACTTTTTTCCCCCTCCTCGGTAAGATTTGTGTTGTCACAAACTGTGCTAAAATCAGTTTAAAATGTCTCAACAAGGAAGGAGCAGACATTGCTGCCACTTTATCCTCTCATGCTGGACTAAGATCAGGCTGGATGCAGTGAAGATGGCACGCCCTTTAATAAGATGATGGCTAAAGGATCATAAGGTCAACATTTAACCAGCAAAGCTAATTAAAGATACATACTAAACCAGAATCAGATTTATGTTGGTATCTGTGTATGATAATTAAACTAACCAAAGTAAAGATGTAATAAGAGACAGGTGGGATTTTTGGTGACATGACATCACATGTGTTTTTCTTTTTTAATTTTGTAATTTGTACAACCATCCCAGCCTTTTCTTGTCTTTCTTTTTAGAAGCTTAAACTGAGCAAACGACAATTAATTCTGCTTGGACCAACTTTAAAACTCAAGTGGTTCCTTCCGATCTGAAACCATTGTACTGTATGCACAGTCTTTCCCATTTGAAACAATTATGTTTATTGAAGTGTACAAAAAACAGCGTGTTAGACAAAAGTCCTTTAATTTTCAGCAAAAGGACCAAATCGTTCTGCTTTTCGTAACAGTTTTTGGTAACTAAAACAGTTTTGATCCGTCAGTGTTTAATCAATCACTTGATTTAGTTCAAATTAAATTTACAATTTGGAGTGTTGGAGCGGAGTCTTCTTGTGTTAGAGATAAGCTGTGCATATATACACAGAAACACAAACCATAGGATCAGGATTTCAAAAGCCAGTTACAATTTAAACATCCATCCAAGCACTGATCATTGTTTTTATAAAGGATGTGCCCCTTTATGCATTCATTTCAGTTGCAGAACGGACCTTTTGTAATAACTGTGACTGAAAGTGGGCTTAACTCAAGTACACTCATATATGTGATGGCACCACATAGATCCTCTCCACTGAGCTTTTCTCCATCGGTTTAACAGAGTTTCACCACATTGGTTTGTTCATTTAGTGCCAGATCAAGTCAATACATCCCAATGCATTCCAACTGGGATTATAAGATGTATGGACAAACAGTTAGTTTGGATCCTAGCTGTTTTTCTTCTGTTAAACAACAAACACTTCTTATTTTGGCGGTGTTGTTTTTTTCCCCCCAAAAAATCCTCATATGCATGAACAGAAAAGCGGCACCTCGTCAGGAGAGAGCAGAATGTAGGACATTCCGTGAAAAACATTCTGAGGCACTCTCATCAATAACAGAGGCACAGCATGTTTTGGCTGGTCCTTACATCCCCCAGATTTTGTAACAGTTTCAAGAACAGCAAAAAAAAAAAAAAAAGAGAAAGAAAAAAGAAAAAAAAACCTGCTGGCTGTTGCAGCTTCTTGATTGGAGGAGGGAAAGCACAGTTCAAAGATGTAGACTTGAAGTTCTGATGTCTTATCAAACTTGTAACTTGCCTTCCTCTCGTTCTCCTCCCAACACCGATGCATTTTTAATGTTGATACAGTAGCCTAGCTTGTCTTCAGAGTTTTTAATTGAGAAATATTTATACACTCCCATGCTGTGACTTAATGTTCGACTTAATCTGAGTCGGTTGCCTTGAATGAAAATGATGATCCACAGCTGGGAAACAGAATTAAATACAAACAGAAAATGGGCCTGATATTTGCATAAAACTGCATATTTATACAATATCGTCGATGCATATTAATAAAAAGATTAAAATGAGCGGTTTTAATGTATGCAAATCTAAATTATAAATGAGTTGTTTAAACTCCTTGTTTATTCGTCTTGATTAAATATAGACAGCTGTTTTTTCCAGGGAGACAGCCCCTTGTCTTGCAGAGGCCGCGTCGCCTCGAGAGCATGCCACACTCTGATCTTAAAGCAGTTCCCATGAATATCTGGGCTGCCGGTAGTGCACATGCATCACACGGGCACGCAGGTTCACCTCGGGCTACATAGGCCCATAGTTGGCCTTATCGAAACAGAAATCCTGAGATGAATACGCTTTCGATGCGTATCTGTCTGTCTCGAAGTTCTTAAAGGGGCCCCGACCAACAAAAATCTTTCTCCTTCCGACCTGGGTTCATTTCACTCTCTCCTTGTAGTTTCGTGTTGAGCGGTCTGATTATTTTTGTCCCATCGCAGTTGGATCGGTACTTCAGATCGCCCCGTTTCGTTAGTCCAGGGGTTTGTGACACTTTCACACACGCACACGCACGCACGCACACCCACGCACACACACCCTGCACATCCTTTCACGTTATCTTTCATCTCACTCTTTAATGGGTGTCATGTGTGACATCAGACTGAGACTGTTGACAGGAAAGGACAAATAAGGAAACATGAGCAGATATAGGAGATATGCAGCCTACACAGAAAAACCCAAAAGAGGCTGTGACCCAACGAGGCAGGCTTTTCACACAAAGGAACAGATACAGCGTTCTCTGTCTAAAAAGAAGATGTCTGTGGTCGATCTGACAAAGGAAACATGTTTGATGAGAGGGTATG